CAAGATAACAAAGATGTGCCCGCAGGCATGCCCGCAGGCATGGGGCAAGATGCAAAATGATATGCAGAAAGATTTTGAAGATTGGACGTATACGCTACGCGAAGCCGGTTTGATAATTGGACTTATACGCTACGCGAAGCCGGTTTGGTAATTGGACTTATACGCTACGCGAAGCCGGTTTGAAAATTGGACTTAGTGAACAAGTGTGATGGATACACTAAAGGTGAACACAAAGTGTGATAGATGCACAATGTGAACAAGTGTGATGGATACACTAAAGGTGAACACAAAGTGTGATAGATGCACAATGTGAACAAGTGTGATGGATACACTAAAGGTGAACACAAAGTGTGATAGATGCACTATGTGAACAGAGTGTGATTGATGTACTAAATGTGAACACGAAGTGTGATAGATGCACTAAGTGAACAAGTATGATAGATACACAAAGCGGGAGTGTGTGATTGATACACAGAGCGAATGCGTGTGATTGATACACAAAGTAGGCATAGTGTGAGCGTGTATGATTAATATACAAAGTGGGCAAAGCGAGTGTGTAATAGATACACTATTTGAGCAAAGTGTAATTGATATACAAAGGGTGAAGTGAACAAAGTGTGATGGATACATTAAAGGTGAACACAAAGTGTGACAGATGCACTTAGTGAACAAAGTATGATTGACATACTAAATGTGAACACGAAGTGTGATAGATACAAGTATGATAGATACACAAAGCGGAAGTGTGTGATTGATACACAGAGCAAACACGTGTGATTGATACACAAAGTAGGCATAGCGAGTGTGTGATAGATACACTATTTGAGCAAAGTGTAATTGATATACAAAGGGTAAAGTGAGCAAAGTGTGATGGATACACTAAAGGTGAACACAAAGTGTGACAGATGCACTTAGTGAACGAGTATGATGGATATACTAAAAGCGAACACAAAGTGTGATAGCTGCACTATGTGAACAAAGTGTGATTGATACAATAAAAGTGAACACAAAGTGTGATAGATGCACTATGTGAACAGAGTGTGATTGATACATTAAAAGTGAACACAAAGTGTAATAGATGCACTATGTGAACAGAGTGTGATTGATACACTGAAGGTGAACACAAAGTGTGATAGATGCACTTAGTGAACCGCACGGCCGTGACTCAGAAACTTCTGAACGAGCATAATATGCAACATCACCAAGCGCTCAATCAGTGACGTCTAAGTCTTAAGGTCGGTCAAAAATGGGGTGTCTACAGTTGCCCCTCTTTGACAGAACTCGAAAGTCACAAGTGACGGGAGTGAATGTCAAAGCCCAGAGACGACCCATTTTTGACAAGGCCGAAGACTTAGACAAATGTACAAGATAAGCAGAGATGTGCCCGCAGGCATGCCCGCAGGCAAAGGGGGGCAAAATCCAAAACGATATGCAATAAGATTTTGAAGATTGGACTTATACGCTACGCGAAGCCGGTTTGAAAAGTTGGACTTATACGCTACGCGAAGCCGGTTATCACTCATGATCATGCAAAGAGAGCTGTAATGAAGCAATTATGCGAAATAAATGCAACGTTTTAAGCGAATGATAGGCAAGCAAGCAAACTTGAGCCAAACTACACCTCGTGCAGAAAGGATGTAAGAAAATTATGGAATTCTCACTGCAAATACAGTGTGCATGTGTGATAGATACACAAAAAGATGAACACAAAGTGTGATAGATGCACTAAGTGAACAAGTATGATAGATATACTGAGCGAGAGTGTGTGATTGATACACAAAGAGGTGAGCACAAAGTGTGATAGATGCACAATGTGAGCAAAGTATGATTGATATACTAAAAAATGAACACAAAGTGTGATAGATGCACTTTGTGAGCAAAGTATGATTGATATACTAAAAATGAACACAAAGTGTGATAGATGCACTTAGTGAACAGAGTATGATTGATATACTGAATGTGAACACAAAGTGTGATAGATGCACTATGTGAACAGAGTATGATTGATATACTAAATGTGGGTGTGTGTGATTAGAATATGTGTGATAGATGAGAATGTACGTGATAGATACAGGAAATGAGGATGTGTGTGATAGATACACAAAGTGAGGTGTGATCGATACACTAAATGAGAATGCGTGTGATAGATACACAAAAATGAAAGAAGTATGATTGATGCACAAAACGAGAATGTATGTGATAGATACACAAAAGTGAATATGCGCATGGTAGATACACAAAATGAGAATGTGTGTGATAGATACACAAAAGTGAATGCAGAAAGTGTGATAGATACACTAAAGAAATGATCTTAAACGGAACTTCTTTGAATGAACCATACATACAATATCGTGCATGAATGGGAAGGAAACCTGATAGGTACAATGCAATACAATGCATGATGTTTAAGGAACGCAATCGGCAAGACCTGAAGAGGTACACACGGAATGTAGTCTCGGAACTTACTGAAGTTGGAACAAACTCAGATGCTCGACATTTCCTCTTTTCTTTTGCTTTGTAATCTGGAACCCATATAGCTTCAAATAGGTCCTAGTTCTACTGTTCTCACATGACCTGGGTTGAACCATGCGGCTTTATGAAAGAACGAATCTTGTTTTGCACAGATGTGGAGAACGACACGGCACTCGGAGAGCAAAATGATTTTATTTTTGAAATTGGGAGATGAGTTTTCGACCAAGTATTGAGCCTACGACTGAACACAGCAAAACGACTCAACAAGGAAATAAAAGGCACACAACCTAGACACATCGAGTGACACTCGAAACGACTCAAAACAAGAATCGAGATAAAACAAAAAGACACGACACTCAGACGCGCACAGGGAGCCTGTTTCACCGGGTATTGTTCCCCACCCTTTCTCATTTGTGGTTCTCACATCACTCGGCCCTCAAACTCTGTTTTTTCTGAAAAAGCCTTTTTCTCACTTTTCCTCTCATCGCACATCTCTCTATTCTTTGTTCTCTCATTTTTCATCCCTCCCCTGGGTGGTTGATGGATAAACAGCAAATTGTGGGCTCGTACCCCTAGCACTCTGCTAGATTCTCTTTCTTCCGCTCACAGCTAGTGAATTCCTCCCACGGAAGTGTTGCGCTACAACTGGGTGTGTAGCAAATCTGTAGCTAACATCAGTTGATGATGCTTTGTTGGGGAGTTTGGACGTGATAAGATCTGTCCAGACGATGGAGTGGAATATCTTACCCCATTCTAGTTCGTGCTTCGCACTTGGCTTGATACCTCGTTGGTTGGAGGACGTGAGAGCTTTCTGCCCTTTGTTATGCCCTTTTCTGGCGAATACGGTGCCCGTTCCGACAAGTAGAGTGCCCTTTCCGACAAGTATTTTGACAAAGGGGAAAAGACAGAACACCTAACTCAACTGTGCCCCTAGTTCATCATTTTGACCATTTTTTGTTTTAGTTTTCTCCTAAAAAATTTTGACCAAAATGAGAGTTAGATTAACATGCTTGTTCAATTTTCTGATTTAAAATCATGCAAGTTAGACTGTGAGCACTGAAAATTTTCCTCTTTTGGGTCCAAGAAATGGTCCAGTTTTGAAAACGGAATACTTTTCGAAAAGGTCAGTCAAACTCAGTAAAAATTCTCAAAACTATTTTTGCAAACGACCACTGCTCAACGAGCACGGAACCTACTCTTGAGATGCACAACTTCGAATTCGAAGGAAGATTGCCCCTTGCTTGAGGGGAACTGCTTGGCAACGAAAAGTTGCCCCTTGTTTGAACGGCACCGCGGCGCATTGAATGGCAACGGAAAGTTGCCCCTTGTTTGAAATGACACTGCGGCGTTCTGAATGGCAACGGAAAGTTGCCCCTTATTTGAACGGCGCCACGGCGCATTGAATGGCGACGGGAAGCTGCCCCTTGTCTGTTTGAAAACACACAGAGAAGAATGCAAAAAATACACATCATAGACATATATAATATATATAAAGTAATGGATTTTGAGTTCTTCACAGGCATTAGACTATACTCTACAATTCGTCCAATAATATACCAATATCGTATCATAGTATATTCGCGAAAAATGATACTAATTAGACGATTTATCTAAACATATATTTCGCAAATGTTCTTTGCTCTTAGAGGTTTTCAATTTCTTAGTGTTGAGATGAAAATTCAATCACTCATCAGCAGCTAAAAAACTTTCAGCAGATGCACGTACTTGGTGGGAAATCCTCAGGCGTTTCTTCCAAACATGTTCTGATGGAGACCAGCGCTGCTTTACCTCTGCATTCTCCTTCTGACCAATCCGATAGGCTCACTGCGCAGACACATGAAGTTCATTCAAATCAATTCAATTATCCTTTATGCAAAGAACACTAGATTTCAAAATAAAGGATATGTTTCAAAACTACGGAAAAGATGTTTTGAATATGATTTAGAAAAGCATTTCTACGGATTGCAGTGTTCTCAACTACGTAATCAAATTTTAATGTACAATACATAAAGTTCTCAGCACATTACTGAATAATCAAGTTATGTTGCTTGCTTATTCTGTGGATAATTCAACTCATAAAATTGTGCAGATTTTGTGAACAATGTCATAGTAGGGAAGTCTGGCAGAATTTCAAGAGACACCCAAATGATGAATGTATTCCTGAATTGCATTAAATGTATCGTAAAGGAAAAAGTAAAAACATGTTCTGAGAACTAGAAAAACTTGTTTCCAAGACAGTTTATTTCTCATAGTCCAATAAGGATTGTCAAGCATTGGTTTTGAATAACTCTGGGGGAAATGAAAGCTACTGAACAAAAGAATTAATAAATAAATTTTCATTTCCAAAACCTCAAAATTTTCATTAAAAAAATTAGTTTGGAAACAATTTTCCGACAGCGAAAACAATAGGAAAAGTTATATTCCTTCAATTTTGACCTATAACTGTGTTTGGATGCTTGGACTTGTAAATGGATTTGTGAAGGAAAAAGACAAGGCATGGGAAAAAAAGTGAATGAAATAGATGCTAATTATATCTTCACAATCCCTTCACAAATCCAAGATCCAACACAACCTATAACAAAATTACTTTGTGATAAAAGACCGTGCAGCTGAAAAGAGCCGCAAATTTAAAACAAAAACAAAACAAAACAAAACAAACCAAACAAAGATCGACTTAGTATGAGAGAACTTCCTACAACAACATAAATCATCATACTGCCAAACTCAGTCCTTTCTCGATTGCAGCACAAAGCATGCATTGCCTGCTAATTGGTGGGGCCACATAATCTTAGGTCAATTAGTTAAGTAATTTGCCTTAAGGCATGCGGGAAGACAGTTTTAAGGAATTGGACTTACGACAGTAGTTATTAAACATGACCTCCCTCGCAAATCAACTAGTTATACATAGTATGTGAATTATAATATCAACAGAAACTAAACCCTTTCAACGCTCAAAAGGACCTAAAACCATATTCTAAGGTTCATTTCAACAAAAATTAATTTAAAAGAATCAATGTAAAGTTTTAAATTTAAAAAATAAATAATCAGAGGGGCATTTACTAGTAAATCCCATTTAGGAGCCTTAATGTCCATATAATCCAATAAAATTCTTGAAACCCATTAGTCCGATGTGATGAAATGACACAATTTGCCACCAATCATATAGATGGTAACGATGTAACAACGTGAAATTCTTACTTAAACCTAACAAATGAAAATTGAAAATATTAGTTCGATTAAATAAGAAGATTCACCATGATTGGGGCGTTAAAACAGGAAAAAGATAATCACATTTGAAAATCTCTAACTAGAAGAACCACAAATGTTGATTTCCATTATTTTTTGGAATCCAACATCTACATATGTAACTAGCGTAATACCCGTGCTATGCACGGTTTCAAAATAAATAATTAACAATTAATTTCAAAATTATACAGTAAAGAAAATAGAATTAATTAAATTTTAACCATTTTTTATCACAATTTCACTTCTTTTTTTTTTTTCTACCATTAGTGCTATGTTTTAAAGCTCTAAATAACAAATAGATGAATCATAATTGTAATTAGTAAAAATTAAATAAAAATTGTTAAATTTACAAAATTGCACTTTTTTATTTTTATTTTAGGAACAAAAACTACACCTATGATAAAATATAAATACGTTATTATTTTCTAAGTTTCATAATTTTAGTTTGCCATATATTAAATTCATATGATGATATCATAAACTATATGGTATTAGATATATAATAATAGTAACTAACTATTTTTTTTTTTTCCTTTTTTTTCTCTTT